TCTAGAAGGTATTTTTTAATTAATGCAAGTAAATGGTCTATTCCTCACTCTACATCAAAACCTTCTGGAATGTCTGGTTTCCACTCAATTAAAACAAAATCTCTGAGGGTGAAGCCTGGGTATCAGATTTTAAACACTCCCCAAGTTGACTGTAGCCTCCACAGAAGGTGGAAAAGCCCTGCTCTCCATCATCTTACAAACAGCATCCCTGATCATCAGTAGTCTGTTAGGTAGGTGACCTAGGCTGGCCACTCCGAGTAAAGAGAAAGCCTTTATTCCAGGAAGGGCTGAATGAGGGGGTCTGCATTCCTGCTATCCTTGGACTTCCGTGAGGGAACCTTCCTACAGACCTTAACAAGGGAGAGGAAGCAAAAAAATAGAGAACTGGGTTGGTACCCACCTGGCCAGATCAGCCCCAACACTGAGCTTCTCATTAGGTGAAATAATAAATTTCCTTCAAGGTACAGACTGTTAGAGCTGGTCTGTCACCTGCAGCCAAACACTTACGAACATATGAGGGGGTAAAAGACACATGGACTGTGTAGAGAAGTTAATGGCAAAGGTACCAGGATCCACAGAAGGCTCATCTGGCAGATCATGAACTGTAGCCTAGGATTCATCAGTCTCCTCTTATCAAACATTCCCTCATGTCTGCTATGTGCCTGACACTGGGCTCAATGATGGGGCAGTGAACGAAGTGATTCAGACTTTCTTTAGCTCTGTCAGGATCATGCTCTTCACCACCTCAAGGCTTCTGCAGGTGCTGTTCCTTCCACCTGGAGGCTGTTCACTCCTCTACCTTGCTCCTTCTAGCTAACTAACTCTTTGGGTCCAGCTCAAATGTCACTTCCTGAAAAGACTTTGCTGGTGTGGCTCTCAAGTCCAGGTGCTTAATCAATCTGTTACCCTGCCTACCATGGAATTTTTACTCCGAATAGTAATAAAAATCTAATATTTATTGGGTGTGACCATATCCCAAGACTGGGCCAAGCAATTTAAGTGCATTATGTCATTTCAAATTGAAATAAATTCATGGAGTAACTTAAAGAACTGACATTTAGAATACTGATTCTTTTCATATGTGTCTACAAAGATCTAAGTCTTTATTTAGATCTTAAGCAAAGTTTTATAGTGGTCTTCCTGTAGGTCATAGACTAAATGAGAAAATAAGAATTTTTTTGTTTGTTTGTTTGTTTTTTGTGGTAGCTGGCTGGTACAAGGACCTGAACCATTGACCTTGGTTCCCTGTTATCAGCACTGTTGCTCTAACCAAGTGAGCTAACCTACCAACCGAGAATTCTATGTGCATATTTCCTTGCAGCATCCCTAGAAAGTTCATATCTTAATCAGTACCATAATAAATTCTTTATAGACATAGAAACCAAGGCTCAAGCAGAAAAGTGATTTGCCAAATAGCACAGAACTGGTGAATGGCCAAGCCAATGAAGAAATCCAGGTCCAACCATCTGTGCTCTCTGCTCTTACAACACTGCCCAGAAGGTGCTGAGCCTAGGCACAGACAGGTTCAGTAACTTGCCCTGGACCACACAGTTTTTAAGGAGTAGTGCTGAGATGGAACACCAAGTGTATAGCCCCAGACGCTGGTCTCCCAAGCACTGCACTACGGAAGAAACTGCAAACATTCTTGTGGAGCCAGGAGCTAAGTGAGTGGAGGATGGTGGTGAGGGAGGGACTGGAGAAGGATTCACCCTAAGGGAATACGGGCCAGGGGGAAGGGTAGACTCGATGACTCTAGACCTCAGCACTTCATGAACCATTACAAATTAAAAAAAGTCTTACAGTGATACAGTCACATAAGGATATTTACAGAAACATCAAATAGCATCTTCTCTTGTCAACGTTTCACAAAAAGAAGACTTTTACTAAAAACAGAACAAAAAACTTCCCCCAAAACAGCTTTATGAATGAAGTTTTAACTTCTAACCTGAATTAAGTTTAGGTTCATGAGACTCAATGCAGTGACTTTGTGAGGACAGGTGTTATTAGTGATTTTTTTCTTATTTTATGTATTTTATGATGTTGTGACATCTTGAAGGCTTTAAGACTTTAGGAGAAGGGCTGGCCCGTGTCTCACTTGGGAGAGTATGGTGCTGATAACACCAAGGCCATGGGTTCAGATTCCTATATAGGGATGGCCGGTTAGCTCACTTGGGAGAGCGTGAGGCTGACAATACCAAGTCAAGGGTTAATATCACTGTACCGGTCACCTTTAAAAAAAAAAAAAGACTTTAGGAAAGACTGCCCTTCTCAGGGCTGGCTAATCCCTAGGATAATAAACAACTCCCCTGGGAACAAGCACAGGCCTTTCATATGTAAACCATCCAATCCAAAACCATACTCCCAACCATCTCTGTTATGGATTGAATTGTGTCCCCCAAAGTTCCAAGTATTAGAAACTTGACCCCCTATTATGGGTGGGAAATCCTATTAATTGAAAAGTGGGGCTCTCAAGAGGTGATTAGATTGTGAGGGCCGTGCCCTAGTGAATGGACTCATCATCCCCTGATGGTTTAATGATGCTCATGGGTGTGATTCTGATGGCTTTAAAAGGAGAGCAAGAGTGCGTGAGAAGCTCGCACTCTCTCTGTTTCTGCCATTTTGCCATGTGACACCCTGCATTGCTGTGAAGAGTTACCATCCACCAACAAGGTCCTCACCAGTTGTGTTTTCTGGATGCTGGACTTCCCAGTCTCCAAAACTGTGAATAAATATTGTTTCTTTACAAATAGTTTCAGGTACTCTGATATAAGCAACAGAAACAGACTAAAACCTCCTTTCTCTAACTCTCAACATACCCAGGCAGTATTTCTCCTGCCCTAAATCAACGCAGGGTCAGGTGCCAGACAACTAGAGACAGGCTGTATATCCCAAAGCCTGCCAGAATTATTCAAACTAGCCAACCCTAAACTGTTTACCCTGCCCTTCCTTTTCTGAAGAAACCCCAATAAAAGCTGTGGCCTATGTTTTCCCTTTGCTCCTGCTTCTCCATGAGGCCCTGGGTGGACTTATGCCCTCTTCTCTCAGGAACTGTAAATAATAAATTCTACTTTCAATGCCATTAACCTGTGTCATCACTAAGTCAGTCCTATAAATTAAAATCCCATGGGTTCAAATTAATAGAATTGGCACACCAAGTAGGGTGACTAAGTAGATGGAAGGTCATGCCTCTAGACAGCTCTCAATTTAAGTAATTGTACCACACAGTAAATTCTGCCTGGGAAGGCACTGCTAACTGTCAAGATGCTTGTGCTTTGGCTGCCACCACTTTATGATGCATCTCCTGTTTGCTGCCAGGGTTTCCAACCTAAGGTGTTCCTCAGGTCCTTCCCTAGTTTAAAGTTACCATATCTAGGTCTGCAAGGGCTGTAATTCCCTAGTTAGTACCTGATCTGGGACACAGTAATCTCATCAGTCTGTTTTCTGAGATTGACTGCCTAGTTTCTGGGTTGGTGACCCTGAGGGGTGGTTAGACTGGCTAACTTACAGGCTGAGACATCCCCCCAAAGCCTTTTCTAGAAAAGGCTTCCTCTTATAGACTGCGTTGTAATATGACTCTGATCAACTGAGCCAACAACACCACAGTCAATGGTGCACTGCTCAGCTGAGTTATTCTCTCTTCCCATCCTATAAGAGAGGTTAACTGCATTGGCCAACCCTTTCAGAAAGTGTCCCTGGCAACAGGTCCAGGCATTGGTCCTTGGTAAGATACAGGGATCCACTTACAAGGTGTCATGGAGCACCCTCCTCACAGATGCCATGGCACAAAACAGGCTTAAAATACTTCAAGGGCAGGTGTCTTCATTGTTATTTGCCTTACTGTTAATGCAGTTCATCCCTCAACCTCATAGGATATAAAAGATCCCAACCTTAGAGATCAGTGGCTCAATGTACAGTGAAAAAAGGGTGTGTGTGTGTGTGAATATTTTGTTCCTGTTCCCCTCAAGATGCCTGAGGCTTTCTCAACTCATTTGAGATTGTAAATCCTCTGGCCAATGTGTTTGGCACCCCTGAATGAAGCATGCTAACAGTCTCCTTCTTAAAACCAAACTGTCACAAAAATTAGTATGTCACTACCACTGCTCTCCTGTATGTAGACCCCAGCTCCTCCAAG